GGGAAAGAGAGAGACGGAGAGAGCAGCAGAAGGCAGAGGAGAGAGATGGAGCAAGAGACCGGAGGCTCAGGAGAGAAGACCGACGTGGAGGAGAGACCTGAAAATCCCGTCTTAGGACGGGCTAATTGGCTAGTATTTGTAATAAAAAATGATATAAAGTGAGCACCCTACATTTTGTATTCTCTTTTGTAATTGAAATCAATATAATTGAAAATGTAGAAGAATCTCATCCAAAAGTATTTACTTTCAATTGGTATTCTATCGTTTAAAGATGTTATTTAAACTGAGATTCTTTTTTTTAATCCTGATTAATTTTTTGAGTTAATCGCATGAGTTAGCTGCAATTAATTGACAGCCCTAGACTGAAAATTATCAGCGTTGTCTACAACTGCTCCATTAACAGCTTTGAAATAATTGACGTTATTAGTTCACTAGAAGACTTACCCAGCATTGGTCGGGTCCTTCAAGACAGGTGCCTGGGGTAGTGGGGGTGAGGTGGAGAAGTCAGAGCAGGAGGCTAAGGATGTGTGTGCGGGGGGGCGGGGGTGTCTAGGAGTCAGGACTGGGAGTGAAGAGAGGCTCAGGGCATGGGGCTTGGTGTCTGGGGTAGTGCAGGAGTCATAGTTGGGGGTGAGGAAGATCTCAGGGCAGGAGGTGGAAGGTGCAGGAGTCAGGGCAGGGGACTGGGAAGCTTAGGGCAGAGAGTGGGGCAGCTGCTGGCTTCTCCCTGGGACTCGCCCGGAGTGGCAGGAGCCGCATGGGCCGCCTGTCAGCTTCTCCCTGGGACAGCAGAGGCTGCATAACAAGATTGGTGGCTTCTCCCCAGGACAGCAGGAGCCAAGCTGCTAGGCAGCCTCTGCTCCCTGGGGTTGGGGCACTTGCTGCCCCACTGTGGTCATTCTGAGATATAATTGTCCCCTGGGATTGCTGCCCTACTGTGATCATTTGTGAGTATAATTGTCCCTGCTATTATACCCCTCTCTTTCCGTTTGATGAGAAACAATCTCATTCCAAGCACATGCTATTGTCCTGGCACAACCAAACTCTGACCTTGCTTTAAGTTATGATAAGAGGAAGCTGCCTACTAAATTTGGTGGTTCTAACTCTTACTCTTTAGGGATATAGCAGGCAGACCCAAGCAGACTCCCTGCCTGCCCACCTCTCCCCCTCCCCACACACAACTCAGAATCAGAAAAGTAGCTGCCAGGTCATTTGTCTTTCAACAGCTGTGGGGAGGAGAGGAGAGGCTTCATGCGCTACCCCCACCCCAAGCACAATCCATGAACTGCCTGTTTGAAGCACAGGCTGTGCATGAAGTACCACTCTCCCTCCCCTCAGGCTCATAGCTATTCACAGGCCACATGGCCCCTGCCATGGCCATCATGCTAATGAAGCTTGGGATATTTAAATCCTATCTTCATTAGCAATTTCGGTTGCCTACATTTGCATCCCTAGCTCAAACTAGGCAGGCAGGCAGGGAGGGAGGCTGCCTGAGAAACGTGCGAGGCTACTTGCTGGGAGTCACCTAGTTAAGTCTCCCAGCCAGAGCCTGTCCTTGGCACCCCAGATCCTCTCTCCCCGACGCCTTACCCCCCTACTCCTGCCCCTTAACCCACATACCTCAAACCCTCTGCCCCCACCAGCACCCATACTCGCACCCCAATTCTCTGCCTCAAGTCACAAGGCAACCCCCTGCATCCCAGGCCCCTGTACCCCAGTCATAACCACCTCCTTCACCCAAACTCCCTCGCAGATCCCACACTCCTCCTACACCCCAAGCTCCCGCTGTACCCAACCTCCATCCCAGCCCTCTCACCTCCTCCATTAATACCATGGAAGAGTGGAGCTCTTGGCCACTTTCTAAATTCTTGGAGTGGCCTCCATCAAAAATAATGCCCACCCTTGGTTCAGGAAGAGGAGTTGTTGAACAAAAGGACTCTCAGACGGATGGACAGACAGATGCACAAAGTTTTTAAAATATATAGTAAAACGATTTAAAAAACAAAACTGGTCCTATAGCACCTTAGGGTACATCTACATTTGCTCCCTAGGTCGAGCTAAGGATGCAAATGTAGGAGACCGAAATTGCTAATGAAGCAGGGATTTAAATATCCCAAGCTTCATTAGCATGATCTCACTGGCACGTTACCCCACTCAACAGCTGATTCGAAAGTGAAAGTGCGCGCCGGGACGCAGTAGTTCAAACCAAACCCCTTGGTTCGAACTAACATTACATTTTTTGAGGAGTAACATTAGTTCGAACCAAGGGGTTTAGTTCAAACTAACACATCCTGGCATGTACTTTCAATTTCGAATCAGCTGGTGAGCAGAGTAACGTGCCGGCGAGATCATGCTAATGAAGCTTGGGATATTTAAATCCCATCTTCATTAGCAATTTCGGTTGCCTACATTTGCATCCCTAGCTCAAACTAAGAAGCAAGTGTAAACGTACCCTTAGAGACTAACAAAAATATAAATAGTATCATGAGCTTTCATAGGCACAACCCACTTCTTCATATGACAAATATGGGGCAAGGGGCACAGATTATATATTTGTCATCTGAAGTGGGCTGTGCCCACGAAAGCTCATGATACTATTAATATTTTTGTTAGTCTCTAAGGTGCTACAGGACCAGTGTTGTTTTTTTAGTTACAGACTAACACGGCTACCCCCTGAGTAAAAAGATTGTTATTATTCAGATTATCACATGATTGGAGTACAATTATAGGCATTAGGTGGTGCCATAAATGTGACATCAATGTACAGGAACATGTTTGCTTTTCATTAGTCAGTGTTACACTGAGAAATTATTGTAGAAGTCAGTAGAATAAAGTCCTATAACAGATATGCCAATGCATACGTATGTTCTCTGAAACATCGTATAGGGATTACTTCACTAGGAATGGTAAGACCATTGAGAACAGCCAGGATGTTTGCTACTGCTTCTTCTGTCATCTTCCGAGTGGCTTGGACTGTAGCAGTTCCAATGTGAGGAGTTATGATAATGTTCTTTAATTTTAATAATGAATGATCTCTGCAAGAAAAAGAAAGAATAATTAGAGGTGAATTTTACATTGTTGCTGTCATATTCACTAGAACAGAAAAGCGCCAAACTGTAGAGCAGCAGTAACTGGCAAAGTTTTGCATGTGGATTGCCAGTTTTCCTGACCAGATGGACTGGACACCAGTTGTGGCAATAGCATCTGGTCCGTCCTGTTGGGAACACTGGCAGCCCTACGTGAGGAAGGAGAACACTGATACACAGAGGGTTGTACAGAGCAGGGAGTAAATTTGCCCACTTCTGCACAGGCCTTCATGTCACTCAGGCTGCTACAGAGCTGCAATATGAGACAATAAAGATCTATTTGCACCACTTGTGCATAACAACCTGAGGATTTGGCCTCCAACAGCTTATAGGCATTTGTAGATGATGGATATTGACATTGCAAATATATTTTTTGCTTTCTCTCATATGAATGCATGAAGAGTTTAAAACGTTGGACATAAGCAACTGGCCAGTGATGCCAAAAGAATCAGGATTGGAATTCAGGAGTTGCTGACTCCTAATCTTGTACCCAATGTATCAGAATAAAACTCTCCTGCAAAAATATGCAAACTGCTATGTAAAATGTGATTTAGATTTGAAGATTCAAATAATTGTGAAGAGCTTTGAAAGAATTTAAGAATGATTTCCAGTATTTGTAATCCACATAATTTATGATCCATAGAAAGAAAACAGTTTTCTACCTTGGCAGAGGTTCAGGGTATGTCACATCCAAAGCTGCAGCCTTAATAGTCCCATTTTGGAGAGCTTCCACCAATGCATCCTGATCAACTACTGCACCTGTATTAAAAAGATAGTGTCTTTTTGCCATATCCAGATACAGTACAGAAGAAAACTAATCTTTAGATAAATTCCATCTCTAACTCAGAGGAAAGGTCCCATAGTACAATTTAATATTTTATTGGATTTACATCTCATTATAAAAACAAGACCGCTTTCTAGTAACCAAACAAAGTAAAAAAAAAAAAAAAAATTTTTTTTAGCACATACCATGGTCCAGCGGACAGGGCACTGGATGGGGATTCAGGAGACTTGGTTTTATTCCTGATTATGCCATTGACCTGCTCTGTGATTTCTCTCTGTTGCTATATCTTCTTCATCCCTTTATCTACATTGTCTATTGAGACTGAAATCTCCTTGGGGCAAAGACTGTCTCTTACAGATATATATAGATTTAAAAGCCAGAAGGGACCACTGTAATCTTCTAATCTGACCTTCTCTGTAACAGAGGCCATAGCAATTTCCTGAATTAATTCCTGTTTGAAAAGACATGAACTCTCTTAGAAAAAACATCCAATCTTGATTTTAAAATTGCCTGCCTAACCCTGGGTAAGTTGTTCCACTGGTTAATTACCCTCATTATTGAAAAGTTTCACCTTATTTCCACGTCTGAATTAGTCTAGCTTTATTTACACCACTCCTTTTTCTGATAGTTTGAAGAGCCCATTATCAAATATTTGTTCCCCATGGAGGTATTTATAGATGGCAGTCAAGCCATCCTTAATCTTCTCTTTATTAAGAGAAATAGATTGTGCTACTTGAGTCTATTGCTGTAAGGTACATTTTCTAATCCTTCAATCGTTCTTGTGGCTCTTCTCTGAATCCTCTCCAATTTATCAACACCCTTTTTGAATTGTGGATACTAGAACTGGACACAATATTCCATCACCAGTTGCATCAGTACAGAGGTAAAATAACCTGTCTCCTCCTTGTGGAGGCTGCCCTCTTTATGTCTCTAGGATCACATTAGCCCTTTTGCTACAGAGTTGCACAGCAAGTTGGTTCATAGGGCTGAGCCCCAGTTAAAGAATCAGAATTACCCTTTAATGAGATTTACCACTCCACATTACCTCAGTTTCCCCAACCAAACGTGCTGAAGGCACCTGTGATGAGGTGGACTGAGCTCTGAGGCTCCCTACTAGAGGCCTTGGGGTCATGCCACACCCTGCCCCAGAGAAGTCATAGAGAAGTCCACCAAATAGGCGAGAGTGACTGTAGAGGAAGCAGCCAATCAGGGGATAAGAAGCTCCTACAAAAGAAACTGAAAGACCATACACCAGTCTGTGCCTCTGTAGTCCTGGAGGCTGGTGGGTTGAGAGGCAACGCTATGGACAGCTCCATGTGAAGAGCTACTGGAGACTGCTGGACTGTGATGGGCCTTGAGATTAGATACAGTATTGTCTCCAGGAGGGGAAGCCCTAGTGGAACCATTCTCTCAGTTCCACAAAAGCCTCCACAACTCCTTTTGAGAGGCATAACAGGATGGCTTATCCCTTAAGGGCTGGAGGCCTGAGACTAGCTAATTCTGATTACTGAAGACACTGCTGTAGCCTATCTACGCCACACTAACGGCCTTGATGGCGCATGATAGAGGAGAGATGACTCACCAGCACCAGGGCAGACAGGGGACCATGACCCCACATTTTAACAAAAGAAATAGAAGTACAGAATGTATGTCCCCTGCAGGATTTTTCTCCCAGCAAAATAATAGATTCTGTTGAGGATATGCTGCAATTATACCTTTTGCCCATCAGGAGCCACTATATTTCCAAAAGAAAGTGCATCTGGCTCATCCCAGGAGCAGCCAGACATGGAGAGAGTGGGAACACTTTGGCTTTGCCCCTACTCTACCAAACTTCTTGCCCCCTTGAGCTTAGTGCCTTATAAAGGGCAGAAGAAAGCTACAAAGAGGGAAAGTAGAGGGAACGAGAGAGGTTGCTGCAGGGAAAATTCTTACATTAAGGAAGCTTGTAGGCTAGAAGCCAGGGAGCTGGAGGCATTTGTGAAGAAACCTAGATGGGGTTTTGGTATAAAAGTTTGGGCCTAAAGGCCAGTGACAGAAGGCTGAGCTCCAGCGAAGCAGCACTGGAAAATGGGCTTTGAGAATAGATTGGCACAGAAGAAGAGCTCTGGCGGTCAGAGAAGATACCAAAGCTAAGTATGGACTCTTATGTGGTGACAGACTGTACATGGGACCTTGTGGACTGTTATGAACTATTTCTGTGATTAAACTGACCCCCAGCAGAGGTGATGGTAACACAAAGAGAAGCCCTTGTGTTGTCCTTCAGCAGCCCTGACAACAGGGAAACAAGCAGCTATTGTAGAGGGCTTTTGGCCATAAGGAGTGCTCAGGAGGCTGCCAAGAGCCAACCCTGTGATGGGAAGTGTGGATGTTCAGCACGAATCAGCATCTGGGCTATGATTCATTCATTACTTATTACTAGTAAATTATTGCCAGCTATTTTGTGTTCTGAACAAAACATGGAGGAAGACACAGACCTTGGCCGAGGGAGCCTTTTGATGCAAAAAGACAATGTTCAATTCAGCCTTAACTATAAAGCCACAACCAGGGATTCCATCACACCTACCTCTGCTGATATTAATGAGAGTAGCAGAGGGTTTCATCAGCTCTAACTCCCTTTTCCCAATGAATCTGAATGTTTGAGGTGTTAGGTTCACGACCAGCATCACGAAGTCAGATTGCTGGAGCAAGTCTTCCATCTTTTCACAGTAGCAGGCACCAACAGCCTTTTCCTCTTCTTCTTTTCTGAGTCAAAAACACCAAAATTAGCTTCTATTCATAAAAATGAAAACCATGCTGCTGTTTCTACTATTACTACTCCACTCCTATGGAGGATGGAAAGAGCACATAGTTGCTATAAACCAATGTCAGTGCAATTATAGAAATATAAAATGGGGAGTTCAGGATTTGGCACACAGCTTGGTAACAGCTTCAGAGTATAAAATATAAAAATGGTGTGCAATTGGCTAGCATGCATTTGTGACGTTGCCTTCTCCGAATGGAGTCAGAACTTTTCAAATAGATAGGGTTATCTCCCTGTAGGTATACTTGATCCTGCCTTAGTGCACAAGGTGATGCCTTAAGGTCCCTTCCAGTCCTATGATTCTAGCGGACAGTCAGAAGATCTAAGCTCTACAGCTGCTTATGAAGATTCTCCTTAGCTGAAATGGGAGTGCTGTGTTTAGGAGCTGAAATTCTTCAGTTCTTTCTGATGCTGTATATGTAGAGTTTGACTGTGAGGTATTTTTATAGTAAACGATTCATTACAGGTGGTAAAAAAAGACAGTGAACAAAGACAATTTCAGTGGTCACTGCAGACAGGAACATTGGGCTCTGGTGTTGAAGATTGCTGTACCTCAAAGAAGGCCCTGTAAATTAAATGTCACTTTTTATATAACATTTTCTGGTTCTAATATGGCTGATTAAATCCACTTTCTGCTGCTGCAACATGGGAGAACCAATGAAAAAAAATTATCCACTAGAAGACTTACCCAGCATTGCTTAGGTCTTTAACTCAATTTTTTTTTGAAAATCAAATGAATGGCCTGCAGGCTGTCCATAGAAGGCCCTGTAAATTAAATGTCACTTTTTATATAACATTTTCTGGTTCTAATATGGCTGATTAAATCCACTTTCTGCTGCTGCAACATGGGAGAACCAATGAAAAAAAATTATCCACTAGAAGACTTACCCAGCATTGCTTAGGTCTTTAACTCAATTTTTTTTTGAAAATCAAATGAATGGCCTGCAGGCTGTCCATAGAGGGGAGAGGAGTGGTGGTACCAGGGTGAGGGGTTTATCTCCCCAGCATTATTTTGGGGCAGTAGAGCCACTTATCCATTCTGTTGCAGAGTCCCACCCCCAGCTAGCCACTCTTTTACTGGTGTGCCTCCCCCTGTGGTCACTCTACCTTATAGCTCTCCCCTGCACTCACTGCCCCCAGTGGTGACTGTGATTATCACGTCTCTACTCTCTCTGCCCCCTTCCTTACCATGCTCTGAAAAACAGTCCCATTCCCAGCACTTCCCATTTTCCTGGTACAATCAAACCCTGACCTTGCTTTAAGTTAGGGAATGAAGAGGAGTTCTTGAGCAAATTAACTCTCAGATACACACACACACACGCAACTTACATGGTGTTGCCTAATCCTTCAGAGCAGGGAGCTGACAGTGTTGCGGGGTTGTGGGTGCAGGCCTTAGGGCAGGGCTTTGGGGATGTGTGTGTGGGGGGGAGAGAATGCAGGAGGCTGGGGGTGGGAAAGTGAGAGTTGGGGGGCGAGGAGGAGCTCAGGAAGGGGGGGGGGTCCCATCCAGCAAGGGCCTTTTTTCTCCCCCTAGCTGCCAGGGCTTTTCTTCTCTCTCCTCCCTCCTCCAAGTGCTGTGGCCAAGGGTCAGGAGGGGAGGAAAGGGTTTGAGGCAGGGGAGCTACTTATTTGGTGTGCTGGCAGGCAAGATGATGAAGCCCCAGCCCCACTGGCCACTCTGCACAATAGCTCTTCCCTGTGGGCTCACTGCCCCCAGTGGCCACTTTCATATCGTGTCTCTCTGAACAGTAACCCCTTCCTTTGCATGTTATGGAAAACAGTCCTTTTCCCAAGGCTTCTGGTTGTCCCGCCACAACCAAACCCTGACTTTGCTTTAAGTTAGGAGAGGAGAAAGCTGCATACCAAATTTGGTGGCCCTAGCTCATACCATTTAGGAGGTATTCTTGAACAAATGGACAGACAGACAGACTCTGATATTGATAGATCAACAGATAAAAACAGTAAGGAAGTTTGTGTTAAACAAAACTGGGCCAGTTCCTCAACTCTTAAAATAGGAGGTAGTGGAGGTGAGGGGAACCCACCTTCTAAAGATGCTATATATTAACGACCCTTTCTCTCCTGATAAAGATATTTAAATTGTGCTTAAAAATCATGCTAAATATATTATACTAACCTGTTCTGTTGCTGGCCAACATTTTCAAACGTGGCTGGTCAAAAAGTTAGGCGTCAAAATTCATATTTAAGAAATGAGTGACCTGATTTTCAGAAGTGCTGAGTACTCACAGCTCCCTCTGAAATCAATGGGAACTGTGATTGCTCAAGACACTCGAAAATCAGAGTGCTCATTGAAGTACAGTATATAAATATGGATTAAGGGACCTAACATGTGGCAACCGCATTTGAAAATTTTGACCCCCAACAATGATGGCAAGTCTCACTGGAAAGAGGCAAGGAAGCTTTGGTATAAAGAGATTCTTTGGGCAGGTTTTGTAAAAAAAAGTAAAAATAATCGATGTCCAACTTTTAAAAGAATTTAAAAAGCCAACCCTGTTCTAGTTTGCATCAGATGCACATTTACCTCTGGTTCCTGTTGTGATACAGAATTTTCATTTCAAAAGCTTTGGCCCTCTTGGCTACCTTATACCCAATGCTGCCCATGCCGATGATACCGAGAGTAGCACCCGTGACTTCATCTCCCAGCCAGTCAGCAGCAAAATGTTCAGTTTGTGGAGAAACTGAAATCTGACAGCCTAAAAATAAAAAACGCAGTGTGAGAAATGGATACTTGATGGATGAATGCTTCCATGTTTGCAATATTCTCTTTGAAGCTTGAAAATAACGTCTCTTTTCCTGCCAGTTAAGACATTTTCCATTAGGCAAACTTTGATTTCCCTCGCCTCCTTTTCTAACAGGGTAAATCCCACCATTCTCTTCGTGAAGATACCAAGATATAGCTGAAATAGTATAGTTTTTTTTGCAGGAACAGTGATGCAAGATTTATGAAGTCCATTTAGATGACAGAATCCTCTGTTGCACTGTAGAGGCCAGCTAACAGGGACCCTCTGAATCCTGTTGAGATGGCAACTTAGGGCAAGGTAGAGTGAGGGAAGAGTGGGACAGAGCCCAGGGAAATGAGAGAACTGCTGTGTTTCCATGGAGAAAAGGGAGATTCCGTCTTCCCAGCCTCCATACATTCTCCTCTGCACCAGGACACAGCTTACACTTCAGCTATACACTGTGCAGAAAGGAGTTGCCCCTTAGAGCATAAATTAACAATGGCAACACAGTAAAGATACTTTTGTTAAAAGTATCATCACTGATTCTAAGATTATTCTGCAAACAGGATTTATTAGTGTGAGTTCTTTGCTGTAGCAGGAGTGCAAAGCAAAGTTGTTCAGTGGGTTTCACAGCAAAATACCTGCTGAGGTGATGGAGACCCAAGGTCTGATATCCATGGCCTTGCACCCTTGTTCAGTCATTTACATTGATGCCAAGAGCATATTAATGAATGGAGAATTTTAATTCACTTTCATTTTTCATTCACTTTGGATAGGTATAAAGAACTACACAAGGTACAGGCAGATTCTAGTCCAGACAGTAGGACCTGTACAGAAATTAAAGCACCTAATGTAGATAGAAGCTTTAATTATCTTGTTTTTGCTTTCAGTAGAAGCTGGATTAGACTCAGAATATGGGAAACAATATAGAAAAAGCAGAGCCACTTGAAAAACTGAATGTTTGGAGCTTTTCTTCCTGTAAGTATTCTTAAACATTATTTCAATCAGATAACCTGTGACACACTAAAAATTAAATATGCTACAAATATAGCTGTCATGATTTATGGAAATATCAGCAAAGGAATGTAAAAAGTCACCTTCCACTAGCCTTCTGGCAGATGCTAGCATCAAGGCCATCCCTATATCTGCAGTAGAGTCAGAAACAGCATGTGGAGTATTGGTCACTTTAATGCCAAAGCTAGCGATCAGTTTCAAGTCCAGGTGATCCACTCCTACCCCAGAGTTTGCAATCACCTTTAAGTGAGGCAGGCTCTGGAGGAGCTCCCGGTCAATGACTGGTTTGCACTCATGTATAAAAACAGATTTGATCTTTTCATTCAGTCTTTTTTTGTTTTCAAGAAATTCCTTCATGGTGATAAGATGAAAATGTTTCTTCAAGAGCTCCACATGCCCTTCCAGGACACCATCTACACCCCCTATTTCATGGATCAGAAGTCCAGGCTGTTCTTGCTTTGCCATGACCTGCAAAAAGAATTAAAAGAAATACGCCCTTGAATATGGGAAAAGAGCATATTTGTAAAAATACCATTCAGTCGGTATGATAGGGTGTACCTATCCCGCACCAGTTTAGCAGGGGTTAACCACATAGAATCATAGAATAATAGGACTGGAAGGGACCTCAAGAGGTCATCGAGTCCAGCCCCCCGCCCTCAAGGCAGGACCAAGCTCCGTCTACACCATCCCTGACAGATGTCTATCCAACCTGTTCTTAAATATCTCCAGAGAGGGTGATTCCACCACCTCCCTTGGCAATTTATTCCAATATTTGACCCCCCTGACAGTTAGGAATTTTTTCCTAATGTCCAATCTAAACCTCCCCTGCTGCACTTTAAGCCCATTACTCTTTGTCCTGTCCTCAGAAACCAAGAGGAACAAATTTTCTCCTTCCTCCTTGTGACACCCTTTTAGATATTTGAAAACAGCTATCATGTCCCCCCTTAAACTTCTTTTTTCCAAACTAAACAAGCCCAGTTCATGAAGCCTGGCTTCATAGGTCATGTTCTCTAAACCTTTAATCATTCTTGTCGCTCTTCTCTGTACCCTTTCCAATTTCTCCACATCTTTCTTGAAATGTGGCGCCCAGAACTGGACACAGTACTCCAGCTGAGGCCTAACTAGCGCAGAGTAGAGCGGCAGAATGACTTCACGAGTTTTGCTTACAACACACCTGTTGATACAACCTAGAATCATATTTGCTTTTTTTGCAACAGCATCACACTGTTGACTCATATTCAACTTGTGGTCCACTATGACCCCTAGATCCCTTTCCGCCATGCTCCTTCCTAGACAGTCGCTTCCCATCTTGTATGTATGGAACTGATTGTTCCTTCCTAAGTGGAGCACTTTGCATTTCTCTTTATTAAACCTCATCCTGTTTACCTCTGACCATTTCTCTAACTTGCTAAGGTCATTTTGAATTATGTCCCTATCCTCCAAAGAAGTCGCAACCCCACCCAGTTTGGTATCATCTGCAAACTTAATAAGCGTATTCTCTATCCCAATATCTACATCATTGATGAAGATATTGAACAGTACGGGTCCCAAAACAGACCCTTGAGGAACTCCACTTGTTATCCCTTTCCAGCAGGATTTAGAACCGTTAACAACAACTCTCTGACTACGGTTATCCAGCCAATTATGCACCCACCTTATCGTGGCCCTATCTAAGTTATATTTGCCTAGTTTATCAATAAGAATATCATGCGAGACCGTATCAAATGCCTTACTAAAGTCTAGGTATATGACATCCACCGCTTCTCCCTTATCCACAAAGCTCGTTATCTTATCAAAGAAAGCTATCAGATTAGTTTGGCATGACTTGTTCTTCACAAACCCATGCTGGCTATTCCCTATCACTTTATTACCTTCCAAGTGTTTGCCATGGGCCGAGGAAGCTGCACCCTCTGCACTTTGCTAGGAATGCTTTAACTAGAATCAGAGTATAAAAGAGAGTCTGAGCTAGGCACCAATGAGAACACATGTGTGGCAGGCTCTAGTCAGGGGGCTGTAAGAGCTCCAGAAGCCAGTTGGGCTGAGACGCCTGTGGAACCCCCGCCAATATGGAGGAGAGACAGCAGACACCATGTGGCTACCAGCATTGGTAGGAAATGGCCCAGGGAACTGAACTGTATTAATGGGTGACCAAGACTGATTATAAAGATGTACTGGTTCCCTACAGCCCTGTGTTGGGACTTGGTGGAGAAGGGTGAGCCGGGTTCCCCCATCCCAGCTGCCAGTCAACACCCAGAAGGATGAACTCTGTCACAGAAAGACAACCTTACTGACTCTGGTCTTTTAGCCCTATTGCCATGAGCTGCAGGGCTACTGCATAGAACCAGGCCACTTGAGCCATCAACTATCCACTTGGATAACGCCCCAGTACTCTGACAGGCTGAGATGGGCTGTACCTATCCCCTGACAGTAAGGATCATTTAAATCACCATTTGTAAATTTGTACTTAGTGGTGCTATATACTTCCCTCAATGACAAATGCAAATCCAAAATTACTAACTTGAAGTCAATGGAGTTAATCTGGATTTACACTGACGTGAAGGCCTGATCCAGCCAATGGAATAATTGGAATCAATGGAATCATACCAGTGACTTCAATGAGTACAGGATCAGGCCATGACAGAGCAGATCCTCATCAGGCCTTGTGTCGGTAGGGGTACTTTGAGGTATAATAGTGAATTATTCCTCATAGCGATGTAAGCGAGTAGTCGAGTACCCGATAAGCCTAAGCTTTAAATATAGTAGAAGCTGGGCTGCCTGCGCGCCCAGTTCTACTACAGTTAAACTGCAGAGCCACAGCAGGTGTAGCTCCTGGACTGGCACAAGCCGAGACAGAGGGGCTTCCCTTATCGCCTAATCGTGTAGTCGATACAAATTGTATCGACTACACAATTAGTCAATTACCCACCTCTTCACATCCTTAATCCCTCAATTCCAAATACATCATTCATTTTAGTCCCAAAGTTATTTCCATTCCACACAATTTGGCAACCCTGCATTTTTATTCCTGAAAATTATTTATCTCTGTAATAAGGGATGAAGAAAGATAGATTATTAAAAGATCATTTTAAATTGTCTGTGTGATCATTATCGGTTGTCTGTTCTTCATTTCAGGTCTGCCAGGATCCAAATCTGGATGTAGAGATCGAGAAGTATGCTGAAAAGAATCAGAGCCTGTAATCCTCAACAGGATTCTGACCAGTCCATGTTAGAAGTACCAGAGCTAAGAGGGCATTCCTTGTGGATTCACCTTGTTGCACATCTATTTAGGGGAGTGTGACGGCGCGTTGGGGGTTCCCCGTCTCCCGCACCCCGAAATGGCACAAACAGACTGCACCAGCCAGTGGAATTGAGGGTGGTTTATTGCTCCTCCAGCACAGCGCAGCACAGATGTAATCTGGTTACAGGAACTGGGGCTAAGAGGCCTCAGTGCCCCCCTTGAGATGGGGGAGTCCCAGCCCCCTCCCCAGCTCCTT